TGGCGGCCCTACTCGGCCGCTGTCTGCCACCACATCGAGAACGTGCTGAAGGAGGATGCCCGTGGCAGCGTGGTGCTGGGGCAGGTCGACGTCCAGCTGGCACCCTACATCATTGACCTCCAGTCCATGCACCAGTTCCGGCAGGACACGGGTAAGGGGCTGGCGTCGGGCCAGGAACATCTATCCATTCATCCACCCAGCCATCCTTCTCTCCCTCCTTCCACCCTGCCATCCACTTGTACATTCACCTCTCCCTTCCACCATCCATCCACCCTTCCACCCATACCCCACTCCATCCCTTCCTTCCTCCCTCCCGCCCCCCCTGCCCCAGCTGTCCTTGCAGCGAGGGGACGCCAGGGGGCAAGAGGCGTTCTCCCTTCCTTCCTCCCTCTCTCCCTCCATCCTTCTATCCCTCCATCCCTCCCTCCCTGCCACCTTCCATCCCTCAATTCTTCCATCTATCCTTCCATCCCTTCCTCCCTCCCTTTAATGTCTCCCTTTCTCCCTGTGTGTTTCTGTCTCCCTGTGTGTTCCTTTCATCCATCTGTCCATCTGTCCATTCATCCATGCATCTGTCACTGCATGTCTATTCATCCATCCATCCATCCATCCATCCATCCATCCATCCATTAATCCTTCCCTTCCTCCCTCCCTGCCAGTGTATCTCTACTTACTTTCTACTCATTTGTCATTTATTTCCTTTATCCATCCCTTCATTCATCTGTCCCTCCATCCCTCCATTGATTCAGCCAGCCAGCCCCACTCACCCTTCCTTCCCTCCCTATCTTTATTTATTTTTGTTGCTTCACATCCATCCATCAAAACATTCCTCCCTCCATCCCTCCTTCTCTCCCTCCATCTCTTCTTCTCTCCCTCCCTCCATCCCTCTCTTCATCCATCCTTCCCTCCTTCTCTCCCTCCCTCCATCCATCCACCCACCCATCTGCCCATCCATCTGTCCCTCCCGTTCCCTCTCTCTTCCCCTTGTCCTGCAGGACTCTGCTTCCCCCATGGATCCCTCCAGGCTCCTCCTGCCCTTTCCTTCCCCCTCCACCATGGACCCCCAACCCAGGGGGACATGTCCCCAAGTCCCTCCATCCCCTCTCACCCTTGTGGGGTGCTGTGTCCCATTATCCCACTGTTCAACCATTCTCCTCTCAAAGCTGCTTTGTCTGGGGTCCCCAAGGAACTGAGGAGACCCCAGTTTGGGCACTGGGAGCTGTGGTGGACCCTGGGCTGGTTGCAGCTTTGCAGCTGTGCCAGTCAGTGCTGCAGCACACATCCAGGCCATGCATCCCTCAGGAAATCAGAGCTAGTCCCATGCTGGGACCAAGCCCAGACCCCATTAACTATGTCCCCGTCACGGTGTGACCCGTTAAACCAGCACGTGCCAGCTGTGCCATGGGGATGTGCTGTTCTGGGTGCTTTCCTGCCCATCTCTGCATCCCTGCTGAGGGCAGGATCCAGCTTCAGGCCAGGCAGAGCAGGCAGGGGACCTGCCACACATTGGGTGACACCCTCAGCCCAGGTGACACCCCACAGCAAGACCCCCATGGATGTGCCCCCTCAGCCTGGCCACAATTCCCAGTCACCAGTGATGCTGAATGACCCTGACTGTGGATGACCAGTGCCATGGACTGGGGACTGAGATGGGGACCAAGCCAGGCACCTGCCACCCTGCCTCTGCCATCCAGCCTGGCTCTGAATTGGTCTCCATCTGGTCACGGACTTGGCAAAGGGCAACTTGGCACCTGCAGCCCTGAGTCAGCGGGGACAGACCCTACGGGTTGTGTTGGCATCCGCGCTGACTCAGGGCTATGGGAGCCACTGGGACATCCTGGCTGTCCCCATGCCACCTCCTGCCAGCTTTGGCCAGGACCAATCCTCTGACAGCACCTGGCATCGCATCCCATGGACACAATGCTGGGTACTTCCTGGGAACATGTGCCCACGGTGGGACCACGGCAGGGTTTGGGGTGACATGTCTCTGCCAGGGGCAAAACAGCTCTTCCTGGGATGCCCTTGGGTACTACGGTCACCATGCCAGCAGGGCTTGGGGACAGAGATGTAGAGAGAGGGACCTCACTGTCCCTAGGGATGGCATGGGAGGGAATGTGGCCATTGTCCTCAGCATTGTGGTCTCCATGTGCCCCCATCCCTGTATCCATCTCTGTCCATCATCTCTTCGCTCGGGTGAGGCCCAGGGTTTGGAGGTTGTCACATGTCTCTGGAGTGCCATGGATCTTGGAGACACAAGGGTCCCCTGGGCTGAGGGTGCTCCCCAGTGACTGCTGTGGCATGGGGACACGGGGAAGGCAGCAGGAGGCTGCAGGCTCAGGGGGGCTTGGCCCACGCCAGGCCCCACCAGGGACAGAGAAATGCAGTGATGGAGCGAAACGAGGTGACCCCGTTCCAAGCAGCAGGGACGCATGTCCCCTCCCAGTGGCCCTGGGGATACTGGCTCAGCCCTGCAGCTCTGGCACAGCTGGTGGAGGGGGCAGGAGCTGGGGGCAGCTGGTGGCCCTTGGGGACCTGGAGTTGTGTGTGCCCATGGGCATGGACTGGGGTGTCCTCCCCCTGTCCTACGTGGGATGGGGATGTGAGTGTGCAGGGGGATGTAGGGTATGGATGTGAGCGGACAGGGGGATATGGAATGGGGATGTGAATGGGCCGTGGGATGTGGGGTGGGAATGAGAGCAGGCAGGGGGATGCAAGATGCGTCTGCAAGAGGGATGTGTGATGCAGTTACAAAGACCAATGGATATGGGACGTGTATATGAGCAGGATGTGGGATTTGGGCCTGAGTGAGCAGCAGGATGGGGAACACGGATGCAAAGAGGTAGGCAGGGATGGGAACGCAAGTGGGATACAGGGCAGGGATGTGAGCAGAGTGTGGATGTGAGCGGGCAGTGAAATGTGGATGTGAGTGGGTGGTGGGATAGGACATGAGTGGTCACTGGGATGTGGATGTGAGTGGTCAGGGGGACTGAACATGAGTTGTCAGTGGGATTGGATGTGAATGGGCAGTGGGATGTGGGCATGAGCCAGCAGTGGGATTTGGGATGCAGGCAGGAGCAGGCAGCAGGACAGAGCAGCCCCCCCACTTCCCTCCCGCGGCCCCAGCAGAGCTGCCTCAGCACAAGGCAGCAGCTGGGCTCTGGCTCCACTGCCTGATGCGGCTGATGATTAATGACCATTAATTAGTGCCGCTAATCGAGCTGGGCAAACGTGCCGGCGAGGGGATAGAGAGGCCTAGTGCCAGGAGGGCACTTGAGGAGGGGACTGTGATGCCTTCTCCCACTGTGGAGCTCCAAAGGGGGCTGCAGCGTCTAGCTCAGCCCCAAAAAAGCGGCGAGGGGACAGGATTTGGCTGTGCAGGGACAACGCCTGGATGTGGGACTGCCAGCACTGGCCTGAGCTGCAGCAGCTGTCAGGAAACCTCTCCTGACCAGGAAATGCTTCCACTGCCCCAGGATGGCCATGGGACCCTGTTCAGGGAGAGTGGAGGTGGGCCTGGACCAGAGGGATGGAAAAAGCCTGGGAAAAAGTGCTGGGGCTGAGCGGATTTACCCTTCCCAGGGCATCCGGGGCTGTGATCCCAAAGGCTGGCAGACCAGCCAGTGGCCAGGCCACCACCACCAATGGCATGTTGTGGGTCAAGTGCTTCCCCAGGGAAGCACAGACTGTTGGGATATGGTGGTCATCTTCCCCCTACACCCATTTGCAGAGGGAGAGAGGCTGCTTACACCCCAAAGTGCCTCTGTATCCCAATCCCTGTGGGATCCTGCACTGGGAGCTGGACACACAGGTGTCTGTGTAGGTGTGGGTCCCTCCACCAGTACTCTGGGGTGCTGAACCACGTGGTGTTTTCCTTGCTGTCTCCCCAGGGACCATGCGCCCCGTACGGAGGAACTTCTATGACCCATCCTCGGCTCCAGGGAAGGGAATCGTGTGGGAATGGGAGAATGACAATAACTCCTGGACTCCCTATGACATGGACATCTGCATCACTATCCAGAATGCCTACGAGAAGCAGCACCCCTGGCTGGACCTCTCCTCCCTGGGCTTCTGCTACCTCATCTACTTCAGCAGCATGTCCCAAATGAACCGGCAAACCCAACGAAAGCGCCGGCTCCGGCGCCGCATGGACCTGGCGTATCCCCTCACCATGGGCTCCAT